AAATAAAACGGTTTAACATCATTGCCCGGATTTATTGGGTATCAAAAAACCCTTCAATTCCCTCATCAAGGGACATGATGCACCTTAACTCTAAGTTTGAAGTTCTATATTTATTGGGGATGAGTTGGTGGTGAGGGAGATGGTGTTCATGCTTAAGATTTTCAAATGAAAAGTGTGAAGGAAAAAAATTAATATAACTTTCTCGACATCCTGTCTCCTAACTTGGGTTTGGAGTGGGAATGACAGAGTTTATTTTCTTCTAAAACATTATAGTTGTGCATTCTCCCTCTCTCTTAAAAAAATAATTATTTAGAAGTACTAGTTTTAGTTTGCTTAGTTACTAAAACATAATCCCCGACTAAGGTCCTTTTTTTTTTGTTTTTAAAAAATTATTTTTCTTACCATGGTCACGATGCACCCTAACTCTAAGATATATGTGATGCTATGTTAAAGATGTGGGAAAAGGCTGGGTGGTGAGAGAGATCGCGTCCAAGCGTCGAAATTTTAAATTATTAGGTTTCACATGTCAATGCACATTAGATGGAGTAATATGTAAACCACAGTCTATTTGTTTCCTGTTTTGCTATTTTTACATTAGACGAATTAAGGCTCACAATCATTGAGGTGCATGTTGTGGGACAAAACAATTAATAGGAAAATGTACTTATGGTATTGATAAGATGCTTGAGGCACAATGATTTAAGAGCATTGAGAAGGGGAGAGGAGATGATTACGGTGAAAGGCCTAGTTATACTTGGCTGCCAAATTGAACAAGCCAACAAAGCCAAAGTCATACCTTTGAATTGTTACATGAATTTTCATGAGTGGAAAATGCATAATATCATTAATATCTTTATGCTCATTCCAAATTTGTTGACTATTACTAATTGAATTAAGGCTCAGTACTCCTATCGAGTTGTACTGACCTCTATGCAGACACATGGAGATTACTTGATGGCTGTAATACAAGATCTTCTACATTTATTGAAAATGAAAGTATAAGCTTGATGTTTTAATGTGGCTAGCTTAATCAGTATTTACTCGCTTTACAATCATAAGACTAGAACCTTTGTTCTTCATCCTGAAACTGAAAGAATTGGTTATTCGAGTGGCTGAATCATATTCAACTGTCTTTAATGCTCTCATTATTCTTACAAAGTATTTTCGGTGTTCACCTTTCGAGATAAACGTGTATGTAGAAGTGAAACACTTTTGTTAGTTTTGGTAGGATATATGCATTTATAGTAAAGGAAATTGATGGATCTTAGAAGGAAATTGCTAAGCTTGTGTTTGGATCATCATATTAAAACTATTTCAGCGCATATGGCATTTTTATCTGAATTTCTCAGAGCTTTGGTTTAGGGTTCTCAAAATGTACTACATAATGTACTAAAATCTAGATATTAAAAGGACAAAATTAATTGCTTTCCTTTTTGTCCAAGGAAAATAGTCTACATTTGCAGAAATATTGTTATCAATAATTGCTTATTGGGGTTGAGAAGGGAAATAATCTAAAAGTAATTTGGTTACAAAACTACTTTTGATGGAGAATTGAAGAAAATGTTGTTCTTTTGTGAAGGTCTCTTTCAGAAGATTTATTAATTGCTGAGGGAAGATTTTGTTTCGATACATCTCATCAAGTGTTTCATTTGGAAAACATAATGAGAAATGGAAGTGTGTATAAGAATCCCATTTGTTGGTTTGGGGGGTATAGGAAATTTAACTTCCTTTCATTGTTTCTAAGGTACGGATCACATGAACTTAAATGGTTTTCTAAATGCAGATTCTATAATTTTTTATTTATTTTTAAATAAATAGAACTACTTCTTTTCTTTGGCATGAGTAATTTCCAAGGAATTTTTATGAATTCATAAATTCATGGCTCTAACTATCTCCTCAAATCCGCAGGACCAAGAGGGCACATGGACGCTCTGAGAACTCATCCAGTATGACTCCTTTTCCTTTTTTGTTTTGATTATTTTAAATCATTTTGCCTTCGTCTGTCAGCAAAGAGTTTTGTTCTATAAAAAATTGGATATTCCATCATTGTGTGTGACCTGTGCCTGGCACGTTTCCGTGTGCAATATTTTTCATGACGGTCACTCTGGCTCGGGTTTCATATTGGTGCTTACTAATTATTTTATCTATAAAAATGGATTGTGATCATTAAGGCATATGCATAGAGATAAACAAATCAAATTTCCCATCAAAGATCTCGATATGTGGATATGTAAGTTCTTGTCATATCTGCCACTTATCCTGTCCACACTTGAATCCTCTAACGAATTGGCATGGCGTTCTAGGTGCAAATTGAATTAATTGATATTTGATTTAAGCTAGTGGCTAGGAATCGTTGTCGTGTTACATAGTTGATGTTTGATTTAATCTAACAAAGTCATATTAGTTCAGAAATTATTTTTGGTGATGGAGTACTATTAGTGGACCTCCCGGAAGGGAAATGAAGGATTCAGTGCGAATTCAGTGGTTATAAGTTCATGAAATCTTAAGCCATAATCAAATCAAAACCCTGAAAGCCTAGATTCTCTTCTCCCTATAAGAATGCCAGCTGCAAGTTGGAAATTCCCCACCATGCAGCAGAGGTTTCGAGATAGGTATGAAGAAGGTGACCCAGAGGTCGATCTCCTTGGAGAACCCTCAAAAAAATTCGACGGCCAAAATCATGTTAAATAATCTTAGCCACAACTTAAAATTTAGCCAAAAACGATGCATACTCCAATCTTCTTGGCAAGTGCACGAATAAATTATATGAGTTGATTTCTTAGTGCTTACCATGACTAAAAGTTTCTTAAAGTCGATTACCAATGACAAATTAGTTAACTGAAGGCTCGTTAGATAAGTATAGGTGAAAATCTGTTTCTTAGTACATTTGAATATGTTTTGTTTCTTTCAGTCTTTTTCTTCTCTTCTTGCTTGGTTGTCATCAATTGAATGTTATTAGATGATCTCCTCAACCTGTTGAGTTACTTAGCTTCCATGGGTGTGCATTTGTGTGTGTGCGCGGCTGTCCGTATACTTAGGTATCCAACTTTATGTTTATCCTTTACTGTTTAAAATGCTATTAATAATGCCATTATTACTGTTTTTGCAGTTTCCGGTGGTCAACTCTTTCATCTTGTTTGCAAAGAAGTCTGGAGGAAAATGTATACTCCCAAGAGAGCATCTTCGAGTCCTAAGGATCAGCCTACTAGGAAACAACGGAAGGGAGGAACCCGGTTTGAATTCCACCAACCACAGAGCCATATGCTGATATTGATTTTCCCATTTCATTGACTTGCAAAAATTCAGCATCTCGAGCCACTGTTTCAACATATGATAAATTTTGCAAGAGGTGCTCTTGTTGTATTTGTCATTTATTTGACAACAAGAAGAATCAAAATCTCTGCTTGAAATTCACGTCTGAATAGGTTCGGGGGACCCTTGTTGCTTTTCTTGCCACATTGAATGTGCCCTCCTAAGCGAGAAGGTGGGAGTTGTTAATCTTGGACAGTTGATGCAGCTGGATGGAGGCTATTGCTGTGCTTCCTGTGGCAGGGTTTCTGGGATAATTTGGTAAGCTCTTCTCTTCTAACATGTTGTTTTCTAATGCTTGAACCCCACCTCTCTTCTTTAGCCAGATCCTTGAAATAGGCTTTAGCAAAATATTGTAGAGCATAATTATATTTTTTTAACTTGAGGAGGATGATGGCGACAAGTTCAAAAAATTGCAGGAAAATGACTCGAATATTAACATTTTAAGTGCAATANNGAATATTAACATTTTAAGTGCAATAATGAAGACCAAGTATCCTTTTAAGTACAATTGTGGGGTCTTGCACTCGTAGATAATTACATTTGGAGTGCAATCACCAAGTAACTCCTTTGGAGACGAGTTTCCAAGGATCATCATCATTAAACTGGGGGTGAAGTCCACTTTTGGTAGTCACCATCTAGATGTGCACGCATGTCTTGAAATGCATTTATCTCGTAGTAGTCACTTACAATTGAAAGATTATGTGCGTCTTTGTTCAACGGTTGTTAAAGTGGAAGATGGCCTTGCCATTAAGTTTCCAAGTGATGGGCATATTGTTCCATAGTATGACTTAAGTTCAAGCTAAGATATAAGAAGAGGTCCATCTCGAAGTAATTTTAACTTCATTGTATTGGGTTTTCAACGAGTTCATATGGCATGAATATTGTTTGCAGATGCTGTAAAAAGCAGGTAACTATTGCTAAGGATAATCGTTGTGTGGATATCCATGGTTACAGGATTTTTCTTAGTTACTGGCTCTTGGAAAGGATTTCCAGATTTCAAGAACTCAGTCAAATTATCACAGAAGCTAAGGACTAATTGGAGACATAGGTAGATCTGGTGAATGATTCAACCAAATGGGTGCTGGGAATTGTCGGCACATGCTCACTAGCCAGTGATATGCAGAATCTCTGTTCTTTTGCTATTGAAAAAGCTGATAGATGGCTAGCCGCAAACTGTAGCATAAGCCTACATAGCATCGGTAATGCTTTTCTGAGATTTTACATTTCGTTATCTTGAAATATGAAATTTTGTGGTCGTATGAATAAACATTGTTTGCATCGTTGCAGCAAATCCTCAAATGGAGAATTAGGTGATGAAGGAAGATCTGGTGCCTAGCGAGAGTGCAAGAGTGCAACAGACTTTGAACCCAAATCTTCATTCAAGATTTGAGACCTAGGGAAGATCTCAAGGCTGGCATGGGTCAAGAACAAATCTGTGGTGGAGATATTAGAAAATGTTCCGGGGATCCTAATTTTCTTAAGCCAGATACTGTACTTGAAGACAGGTTGTCATCCATTCCAAGGGTGATTGACTTGAATGTTTCTCCAGTGCCCTATCTGAACGAAGAGTTTACACCTCCTGTTGAGTCATCTAGAAACAACTGGAACAGTTCTAAACCGTAAAAGGACCAGTTGTTGACTCCCAGTTGAAGCTTGCCCGAAGAGTACACATAACACCAAATTAGAGATGCAAGATTTTGGTGGCTATAAGAACGCATCACCATATGGCTGGAAGATTGGGTGAGAATTCTGAATACCGTCTTAAAATCACTAGTTGGCTGGAGTGCAAGGGCCATATTAAGAAGGAATTCAGAAAGAAGTTTCTAACGTGGTTCAGCTGGATATCAACCGAGAAGGAAAGCGGAGTAGTCCACTCATTTATACAAATTCTAACGGAAGATCAGTTGGTTGATTCTTTTTTCGGAAATCATCAGTGTCCAGTTAGATGAATGACTTGATTTTTAGGCATTCTCTGGTCCAATTCACGACATGGCTTAGCTTTTCTTCCTAGTCGAATTAGTCCTTAAAAAACCCCTAATTGGTTTTGATAAAAAAATCAATTGTTAGTAGATTTTGATAAAAATTGATGAAATGTAAGATTGAAAAGTTTATAAAAGTTGTGGATCTCACGAAATTTATGGTTGAAAATGAGTTTGGAAAAAAATGAGTTTTGAGAAATGGGGGACCAAACATGGGCTTATATTTTTCCAAATTGGGATTTTTTTTTCTTTGCAAATTCAGAATTAATGCAGTTTGTTACTAAATCACAGGTCATTTTTATGTTTCAGTAATGATATTTACAGTGTGATATGTTATGCTCTCTCCAAGAAATTTTATTTTCAAAACTTTTCATGATAATAATTACACAAAACAACGACGGCTGGAAATAGGAAATGAGACCCAGTCGCCGATGACCTAGGTCGTGCAGTGGAACCAGCGAGTAGCTGATAGATTGGGGTATATTTGATGGTAGTCTTGGTAATAAGGGTCGTGATTAAGGAAGATACATGTGACAAGTTTGTTAATTATCTTATTCAATTGTAGCATATAATATTTATATGGACTACTTTTTAACGGCAGCTCGAACTAGAATACCATCCATTTTGCATATTAACACATTATAGTTACTACTATACGAAAAATGACAGTTTGTTAGTGTATTTCGACTGCCTTGTTTACTTTTTGTATCAAGGTAAAAAGGGGTACTTCCTGGAAGCCTGTTTGCCTTTCAGGTAAGTTTTGCCAGTCTTTCAGTTGAACTTTTTCAAGGGAAGCTGAAAGCATTTCTTCTTAGTTCCCAACCCTCTAGTGCAATCATTTTCTGAATAATTCACAGCATAAATGATAACCCGCCAAAGATAGGAACTATCTCCTCTAAACTCACAGTGCATGAAAGTCCTTCTTGAATAACATCTATCACAAAGAATTGTGGACTCGGGGGCTCTAAATGACCTCCTAATTGCGTTGACAGATGAAACCTATCCAGACCGGGCACCTTAAACTGGCTCTTACCAAATAGTGCATCCATGATATCAAATTTAGTGAAAGTCTCTGCAAAACAACTCTTGTTTTATCGGACAAGGCTAGTACCCAAGAATATGTGAATATGTCTGAAAAGTAACCATATATCACTTGTGCAATGTCCAAAAGTGAAAGTTACTAGTTCGGCCCTAAAATCACCTAGAGGGGGTGAATAGGTGAATAGTGCGGAATTAAAATTATCACTGATCAATATTGCAACAAGTCACAATAATTAATTAATTTAGATCCAGTTCACATGAATTAACTACCCTATGTTGAATTGTCGGCTTGTATGAAATCAATAGTGTAAACAACACAAAGAATTGATGATGGTGAAAGCTCTTAACTAGGTAAAAAACTTTGGTACCAAGCCAGTAGTTTTCATTATAGATAATAAGAATTTATAGTATGATCCAGCCTAGAAACTCACTAGACTCGCTAATCTAATTTCTGCAATCTTCAAGACCCACTGAAACGTGCTTCACTCACTGGAACGTGCTTCACTCACACCTGCTCTCGATCTTCTGAATTGCATATCTCATGTGGATCACCCAGAGCACCTTGTTTTTTTACTCTTTCTGTGCTTCTGGTCTACCCTCCTTCAAACTTCAGCAATCTTTGAAAACTATTGAGAAAGTAATTTCCCGATTATATCTAGGAAGTGGATATTTTGGATTATTTGACTTTGATGTTTTTCCCAACTTGTGGATTGATATCAAGAACCAAATGGTTAATCCCAATGTTTTGATGTATTCTTGGATTTTGGATTGATGTTATGAGAATGTAAAACAATGATCAATCACTATCAAAAACGTAATGGGTATAGGGTATTTATAATAAAAGGTATTTAGGTATTATAGGATAAAAAGAACTTTTGAAAATCGCAAAATAGATCACATATAACACCGTCGCTTGAGCGCTAGTCTACTAATCGAAGAGCGAGAGGTGTCTCACTCGAGCGATATGCTGGCGACAATGATTCTCTCTTTTCCGCTCTAGCATTAGCTTGACGACAGGCTAGCGTAAATTTGGCGACTATTTCTCCTTATTCCATACTCGAACCCAAAGACTCATAATTTATGTATGCAACCCTCCAGAAAACTCCTTGACTTTTACAATTCTTTTATAACAATCATATTCTTTTATAATAATCATTTTGTCTAAAGAATTGTCAATACAACATAAATCCTAACAAAGAGTATATCCCTCCACACGCTTGCACTCTCCACTAAGCTGAATATTTTATTTCTCCCCTTAGACCTGCTGCCTCTTTTTGAATGTAGAGGTGTCAATCCGGGTGGTCCGGGCCGGGTCGGCCCGCCAACATGTGAGCCCGGTAACGGCCCGCGTGAAAAAAAGCCCGCCCGCTGCGGGTTCCGGGCCGGTTACGGGTCGGCCC